GCACCACTGATTACATGCAATACAGTCCTTCAAAAATATCTGTGGAAAACAATGAAAGAATATATGAGGAAGGGAAGGAAAGAAGGAAAGATAATGCTATAAAAGGAGATAAGGGAATTTCCACGATCGTTCTAAGAAGTTCTCCTTGACCTGGCAGCCACCCCATTTTGCTGTTCACTCCTCTTCCTGTGCATTTGCCCTCCTTGCGATGTTTTTTCTCCCTTTTGGGCATGAAATCCTCTGAGACACAGTTCATTCTCCCCTCCTACTTGAGATCTCTTCCCGCCTGCAATTCTACTGCATGCATTTGTCTCTGTTTAGCCCTTAATTGTCCTCACAAAGATTCATGTTCAGCTATTTCGCCAACCAAACTTTATTGCTCCCCAAGGGTGAAAACTATGCCATATTTATTTTGCACGCCTCCCCTCTTCACCTCCACCCAGATATCCCCTCAAACACAGAAGTACCTGGCAAATACTTGCTGAATGGCTAAGTCCTTTCAGTATTTCTATCACTGAAGTATAGCATCCTTTCATCTGACTCTCCAGGTTCAAAAGTACATTGGAAAAAGTTATATATCAAAGCATTCATTGCCAAGTAACAGATTTATCTTTTCTAAAACTTGCAATCATTGAACCAAACGTCAGTGGCTTCACCAACAAGAAAAAAAAAAGGTGCCAGCACACAAAGAAGGATCTGTTATGTAACCACCCTACTACTGCTAGCTCACTTCAACTGTAGGCACAGGATTTATCATTTTATGGCAATTTAGCAGAATAAATACTGCCACACATTTCTTCCCCAAGAAAGAGATATTGGAAGTGGCCCGACTTAACCTAAAACTTGCACGATGAAATTTAACAAGGAGAGGTGAAATTGAATTTTGAAAGTTCCCAAGTTCCCACAGCAGATACTCAAATACCATTTATAAATCTGAATTTTATACAGAATTCTATACAAGTCACAAAAGTCTAAAAATTGTAATGGTGCAAATCTTAAACCCCTATCATAGCACGTGGTTAACAGGATGAATCCAATCTGAATAATATTGGTTCCTTTAGGAAAAAAGGTGGATCTTTAAATTTCACACCAGTGTTTGGGACAGGATAAATTAAACTACTCCACAAAAGCAACAAATGGATTCGAATTTCACCCTCCAGTTATCCTGGGTTCTCATTAGAACCAATAGGGTCTAACTTATAGATGATTTACAACAAAGAAGGTGGAAAAGTATGGCCTGGTAGCTCAGTTGGTTAGAGAGTCTTCCCAATGTGCCAAGGTTGTGGGTTCAATCCCCAGTCAGGGCACAAGCACATAAAAGAATCTCCCAATGAATTTTCTCTCCCCCCCCCCACCCCTTTTCCTCTCTCTCTAAAATCAATTTAAAAAAATAAAAAGAGGAAGAAATTAACCTCACAAGTCACAGGGCCAGCAAGAGACACTCTTCCTTGAGAAAACTCTGCCGCCCTTTCAGTGCTCCCAAGAATCAGTTTCCTTTGAGAAAGGTAACTGTGAAAAGCATTTCAAAACTGCTTTACAACTACAGGCTGCAAAACTGAGGTGAAACACTTAATTCCAACTGTCTGAGACACGACTGCTGGGCTTAACTTTCTGGCATCCCCCAAGCCCACTGACCCAATATTGGCTGAGAATGCATTTTCAAGCACCTTTTGCTCATCAAAATGAAACCTCTTTTAAGATAATTATATCATTTAGTACTGCCTAATTTTAATATTGAGAATGAAACAGAAACACTGGACTGAAACCACATTATGAATTCTACTGGATAATCTATCTTCCTAAACAAAAATCAAACAAAGTTCACATTGTTTCTATAAGTATGATTATTTTTAACCATAAATACTGCTACAAGAAGTTTGGTATATGAGAGAAGTTTCCAGACTCTCTCTGACATGGGCAACCTGTATATTTTGACCACGTTGATGAATGTGTTAGCACTGGTGCCAGTCTAGTTTTACTTTAAAAAAATGGAGCAGAGAAATGTAAAGGATATTACTGAAACTCCAACTGGAACACAATAGTCTAGTGCCAAAGCCTTTTATTAAAAAAAAGAAAAATCTAAAATAAAAAAGAAATGTAAAGGAAAGTCACCTGTTTGGGGTAAAAACAAATTAAGGATAGAGGATTTTTCAGCTATCGTACTGTGTACCTACATGAAAAATTAAAGGAATCTTATAGGTGATAAATATTTAGCCAGTTAGCCAATACTTTGTACTAACAAATAGATATGTTAAGTAGAAACTATAACGGCAACTTGTATTTCAGACACTAAAACTGACCATTTCTTCTACATTCAAAATACAGTTGACCCTTGAGCAACAGACACCCACCTCCCAATGCTGTCGAAAATCTGTGTCTAACTTTAGACTCTCCAAAAACTTAATAGCCTCCTGTTGACTGGAAGCCTTACCGATAACATAAACAGTTGAGTAAGACATATTTTATATGTTTTACATGCTATAGTCTTACAATAAAGTAAGCTAGAGGGAAAATCTTACTTAAAAATCATAAGGAAAACACATTTACTGTACTGTTCGTATTTATTGAAAAAATCTGCATATAAGTGGACCCCCACAGTTCAAACCTGTGTTGTTCAAGGGTCAACTGTAATTAAATCATTTTTAATTTCTAAGATTTTCAAATCCAGGTGAGAAGTCATAAAATTAGAACCGGAGAAAACAGATGCTACCATCCCCTCAGGACAACCTCACTTAAACCTTTCTAAACAGAGAACCCAAAGGCCTCTATCAGAAATCTAGTCTATAGGTTAAAACATCCAGAAAAACTTTCCTGTATTTAGCATAAATCCCTCTTGATGCTTGCTGTAAGTGATTTCCTCTCCTTTTTCTTCAGGGAAGATGGAAAACAGCTGTTCAACATCCCCTTTCAAGCTACTTTTTCTTTCCTGCCAGTCCTCCTCCCCCCCCCCCCCCCAACTGTAAACACTGCAGGTGACTCCAAAATCCAGCTGGCCCATGCCTGATTATCCACGGGCTCCGTGAGCCTGGCCCCATGCGTGCCTCCTGCAATGACATCATTAAACTGCAAAGGCCCCAAGAAAAGTTCTTCACCAGAATGTGTGAAATTCTAGAAATCTGCTGCTTATAGTCTGTCCTCAGACATAGTCAAACAACAAAAATAAATTCAAACTTCTTCACGAAGAAGCTTGCAGTCAGGGCTGCACAGAAGGTGAGCAGCCCCGTCCTGCAGCCAGCCCATCCTGCGCTTCACTACTGTTCTCCTCCACGTGGCAGGGTGTTGAGTGCACTTTGGCATAAAACATGTTTCAACTCCTTGGGGATTTTTATCATGCACTTCTTGAGTTTCTTGTCACTGACGCAACTTTCTGGATGTAAGCTATTTATAGACATGCAGTAACTCTTTCAATACTGCATTCTAAAGGACTACTCCAAATGAAAGTGTGGGTTTGCAGTCTGCTATTTCTTTAAAGGAATCATCTCTACTAGATTCACAACATGACCTGCAGGTCACGTTTTACACCAAAACTTATACAAGCAACCTAATGTTGTTACCTCCCACTTCAGGAATTGCTAACAAATATCCTCATTTTTCTTGCAATCACCATTAGATTCCAACAGTAAAGTCAGTACATTGCCTGCCTACTTCATCAATAAAAATGTTATAGATCCGAAAGCCTGGTGAGCTGATTTCCTTTACAAATCCCTTTTAAGGGTTATGAAATGCTGATTCAACTTTGCTGTGGTATCACATCTGCATGTATTAAATGCCTGTTGCTTAGCAGCTAAGTTTGTTACACAGAAGAAAAAAACAAAAGCCTTGCCTTGATTTAATCAACAAATGCACATTTTACAGCTCTATGGCATCTGTGTGTGCAACAAATAGTTCGGAAGATTTCAATAGCAGCTTTTTAAACTGACTGTGAACTTACTCAATTTCTACTAAAAGAGACTGTACATTAATTTAAACACACACAAGGAATTTTGCTATGATTGTCCTGCTATTCTTCACATTAACTAGGGAGAAAAGAGGCACCATTAATTCTATAAATAATACCAAAAACTTTTTTGGCATGCAGACACATGCACTCAGTTACCAACTCACTTTGACCCTGTCTAGGAAAAGCAGATGGACACAAATAACCTACAATGACTATGTCAGGTATCTGTAATTGAGACTTAACTGCATATGCCTTTTGTATACTTTTAAGATCAAGGCTACACTTAGCAATAGTTATAGCTACTCTCGAATATGCAATGCCAGCATACGTCATGTTTATTATCAATCTCTTTATAGCTTCTAAGTATTACTGAAGAGGCAAATTCTGTTCTTTCAGCAATTGTTTAATAACATTTAATAACACTAACCAAAATCATTTTTATGGAATATCCTAAGAAAGTTGAAACAAATAGAAATCCAGCAAAGAATCTTTGCGGTAATCTTTATGCACATTAAAATTTATGTAGTTGCTCTGGCCGGTGTTGCCAAATGGTTGGAGCACCAGCCCACACACCAGAGAATCCTGGGTTCAATTCCCAGTCAAGTGCTAATACCTGGGTTGCAGGTCTGCTCCCTGCCCCAGGGTTGGGTTGCATGGGGGAGATGACAAATCCATGTGTTTCTCTCACATCGATGTCTCTCTCCCCCTCCCTCCCTCCCACACTCTCTCTCTGAAAGGCAATGGAAGAAAATATCCTCCAATGAAGATCAATTACAAAACTTTTTTTCATGGTGTTATTCTGAATTAAGGCCTGAACAAATGACTACATTCAAGAAATAAACACATGGCCTCAACAATCTTTTCTTTTTTCTAAATCCCTTTTCTTCTTTTTTTTTTTTTTTTTTAATATATATTTTATTGATTTTTTACAGAGAAGAAGGGAGAGAGATAGAGAGTTAGAAACATCGATGAGAGAGAAACATCGACCAGCTGCCTCCTGCACATCTCCCACTGGGGATGTGCCCGCCACCCAGGTACATGCCCTTGACCGGAATCGAACCTGGGACCTTTCAGTCCGCAGGCGGACGCTCTATCCACTGAGCCAAACCGGTTTCGGCCCTTTTCTTCTTGATGATCTCCAACCATCTCTCTGGACACTCTGCCTCCTGCAGGTTTATAGTCTTCTGGGTGTTTGAGAGGATTTGGAATCTACACCCTCAACAGGCTGGAGCTTGCCTAGATAGACAGAAGTAAACAACACATTGGTCAAGTACCCAAAGATCTGAGGCCAGCTAATGAGAACTGAGTGAGGAGCCTAGGGCTCTGCAGAAGGTAGAAGAGGCCCCGCAACAGAATCCTTAATAAGGCATGAGAAGAGCCACGGAATGGGAGAGGAGGGCGCTGTGGGAAGGGGGTCTGTATGTGCCAGTTTACAGAAGCCTGAGCAGCACATGAGCATTCCAGGGAACTGACAGTTCATGGACAGGAGTGAGAATTAAAAGGGATAATAGACTAGATATGTAGGAAAATAAAATAAAAGAGTCTTTCGTAACATAAATTTGGAGTCATAAAGGAGAAAAGTAGAATTAAATGGGCAATTCAAGTTAATCTCATATTTAAGATAGGCCACTAATTACTTGTAATATGATAAGCAAATTGCTTGTTTTCACAGTTATTTCCATTTCCCCACTACTAAAAAGAGGAGACACCTGCTCTACAGCACTCTCCATCTTCCCGAGGCTAAAATATGAAAATATTAGAATTATTTGAAAAAATTAACAAGTATTAGGCAATTTTAAAATGCAAGTATTCATGTAGCTGCATGACCTATGGGGACTTTTCCTTTCCTCCAATTGTCTAAAAGCATATACATTTGTAAGAAAGAGTTTATTCATCCTAGTGGCACCTTTTTAAACCCATGCACAATATTTTGCATTTCTCTTTCTAGTTTCATTCTTTTCTGCAACACTTCTCCACCATCAGCTAACCAAACCACTCTTCTATACATAAGAAGTGATGAAACACTAAATTTAAATGTCAGAACCTGAGAATGCATTTATTTACTAACAGATACAGATTTTCTTGGGAAAACACACACACACACACACACACACACACACACACACACACAATTATTTCCATTGAAATAGTATCCACTTATTGTAGACTTTAATTTTTAAAAGGGAATTCTCTACTAGACTTGGGCATTGGCGTTGGCAAGACTGTTTGAAATTCGTCCATTTCTAATTATTGCTATCACCAAATGGACTCCGCAATTTTAATCTCTACTTCCCATCCTGCCACCAATTCACTAGATGAACTTCATGGGAAAATACTTTCTCTTTTTGGTAGTCTGGGTTTATACACTTTCTGAAACCACACATTGGGGACTGACTCTTGGTTTAGAAAATTTTGTTGTGTCATCCAAACATCTGCTGGCAATTTGGTGACCCCAAAGAATTTTATTCTACGTATCACTCTAGGCTGCGGTTCTCAACCTGTGGGTCGTGACCCCTTTGGCAGTCAAACAACCCTTTCACAGGGGTCGCCTAAGACCATCCTGCATATCAGATATTTACATGATGATTCATAACGGTAGCAACATTACAGTTATGAAGTAGCAACAAAAATAATTTTATGGTTGGGTCACAACATGAGGAACTGTATTTAACGGGCCAGAAGGTTGAGAACCACTGCCCTAAGGCATGAGTAATAAGAACTGTCCTGTGCTCTGCTTGGACACTTTTAGAAGGTTGCTGGTTATTGCATCTCACCAGGTGCCTTCCCCTCCTTGCAGAACAGTAAAGATCCCGCCACTCCCAGTAAGTGGAATAACAACATCCACTATGAGGATGACATTACCTCTACCACAGGTTCAGATCACCTCAAAAGCCTGCCACATACACATCACAGGATAATAACATTCCTCCTTTTGTTGGGGTAGTGACAAATGATAAGAACATTTACTCTATATATTTAGGACACAACCGTGCCAGTGGTTAAGTACTATTTAATATAGGTTGCAACTACAAAATGTTAGTCTTTTACTACTAATTTCTTTACTCCTTTTGGAAACAAAGATTACTGATATATTAAAACCCAAATTTAAATGTTTTATCTTCCTTTATTTCTCTCCAGTCATTTGCTGAAATCATGCTGTGGAAAGGGTATCATGTAATGTCTCTCATGCAACACAGAGGGATCCAAATTAGTAGAAATAAATACCAAAATCATCTACCACAAATAACATGAAGAAGTATTTTACTGTTTAATTGCAGAATGCATTTGCACCTATGATTCTGAACACTTTTCAGATGCTAAAAGTAACTTTATAAGGAGGCGTTGGGACGCAGAGGAGCATCTGTGAAGTAAGAACTTCACCTTATGCCCTAGCCAGTTTGGCTCAGTGGAGAGAGCGTCGGCCTGCGGACTGAAGGGTCCTGGGTTCGATTCCGGTCAAGGGCACATGCCTGGGTTGTGGGCTCCAGCCCCAGTGTGGAGCATGCAGGAGGCAGCTGATTAATGATTCTCTCTCATCACTGATGTTTCTATCTCTCTCTTCCTCTCCCTTCCTCTCTGAAATCAATAAAAATATATTTTAAAAAAAAACTTCACCTTGTGGACAACCACCAGGTCCTCCCAAGCAGCACTGGCAAATACTGAACTGGAAAGACCACAGATCTCATTAAAAACCTGTAGGAACTAAATCGGGAGTAATTTTAAAAGTATAAAAGTATATGCACACATTAATGTTAGTGGCTGTGATGGTCCTGACCTCATGTGGCCAGTCTGGTTGACTTAGAGGGTGCTTTCCCACAACCAGGCCCCTAACCTCAGAGGGAGGCACTGGAGTTGGCAGGACTGGGGAAGTCCCAATAATTCCCTCTGTGGCAAAGGCCTTTCTATAGTGTGTTCTATTGCAAATTTCTCTTTGTCCAAGTTTTTTTTTTTGAGACCTCTCTTTCACTTGGTAATTGTACTATCAATATTTTTTAACCTGAATGTAAAAATGGACTTTGTAGGCCACTGTCAGTGGTTCTCAACCTTCTGGCCCTTTAAAACAGTTCCTCATGTTGTGACCCCCAACCATAAAATTATTTTCGTTGCTACTTCATAACTGTAATGTTGCTACTGTTATGAATCATAATGTAAATATCTGACATGCAGGATGGTCTTAAGTGACCCCTGAGAAAGGGTCGTTGGATCGCCAAAGGGGTCGCGACCCACAGGTTGAGAACCGCTGGTTTAATTGCACTAGAACAAACTGATCTGACACATACCAATCAGTGAAGAGGAGGCTTCCCAAGCTCAAGCTCTCAAATGTTCAGGTAGGCTTCCTCCCTTTCTTCATGAGCAGCGCCAGGAAAGCAGGGCAGTCTCTCACGCACCTCTAAGCGGCTCCTAGAGACCAGCGCTGTCTTGTACTTTTTGCTGAACCCACGCAGATGGGTGACGCAACATGGAAGCATCAAATTCCATCCTTTCTCCCTTTCAACTGGAACATATTTTAACCTACACGCTTCCCAAAAGGACCTATATATGTTTGGTGACTTTAAAAGAAAAGAGTAGCACACAACAGGCAAGTACTCAGATGGATAATTCCGTGTTTTACTTCTTCCACGCATATTACACACATATTTTATGAGCTGATTTTAGTAGTACTGTCTAAATATTCTACAAAATATTGCACATCATATTTCATTTCACAGGTTATCATTTGTTGAGGGATCCAAAAACACTGCGGAAGAGGTAATTACCGGAAGATTAAATTCTATAACGTAAAAAAAAAAATACTTAAAACCCCGTTTTTAAACTATTTCTAAGTGAGAACGTCCATTCTCAAATTTAATGTAACATTTAAACCATAATTGTGTTACACGAAGATCCCTAGAAACTAGAAGTGTCACTTTCTGACCTAAGGAATTCCAGGTAAACGAGGCGCACTCCCTGCTTTTAAGCAACGGATTCGGTTTCAACCTTCCCTGCCAGCCGGCCTGGCTGCTGCTCCATCAAATGAGCATGAACATGAGAACGCTCTGGGGTCGCACACTTAGCTCGGATTCCAGCGCGAAGATGCCGACCCCTGCGGCTTTGCTGGCGGAGCTTCCCCGCCGGTGAGTCAAGCGCCCCACCGCCACCGCCGCCGCCGCCGCCGGGGGCTGCCAGGGCGTGAGGTTTACCAGCAGCTTCTCCCGAGTGTCAGCCGAGCTTCGCGGCGCTGGAACCCCGCGGCCGGGGAAGCCGTGGCCCCCGGGCTCCCGCAGCCAGACGCGGGCTGCGGCGCCAGGACCCGCCCGCCCGCCCGCCCCCACAGCCCGCTGTGCGGGGAGACGCGAGGCTGTGCCACCCAAGCCGGCAGAGGAATGCCAGAGCCCCGCGGGCCGTCCGGGGAGTCGCGGCTGGCCCAGACCCGACGCCCGAAAGCGATCTCCGCGTCCCTTCGGCGCGCCGGGCTCGGCACCGGGCGCTCGCGGGCTGGGAAGGGGCGAACGGCTGGCCCCGAGGCTGCCCCGCCGCCGGCGAGCCCACGGCTCGGGCTCCACGCCCCGCGCACCCCGCAGGCACCCCGCCGAGCGAGCCGGGCGCGCAGCCCACGGCGCCGACGGCTGGGGACGTGGCTCCCCGCCTCCCGCCGCCAGCCGCCCGCGCCTCCGGAAGAAAGTTGCGCCGCGCGGGGCCCAGATCCGCGCCCGCCGCCCCCTCGCGCGGCCCCCGCTCACCGCTCCCCGCCGCGGCTGCGTCCTCCCGGGCGGCGCCTCCCCAGCCTCGGCGCAGGCTCCAGACCTTGGCGGCCCGCCGCACCCCAGGGCGCCCGGCGCCCTCGGAGCCCAGCCCTCAGCGCGCCCGCCGCGCCATCGGTGCTGGTGGGCGCCGCGCCGCGGGATGCGCCGCCGCCGCCTCGGGTGGCGCTTCTTCCAGCCGGGCGGGCGGGCGGGGTGTGGGCGAGCCCGGAGGAGGGCGGGCCGCGGCGGGCGCCCAGGCTCAGCCGGAGGGCGGAGGAAACCGCAACGTCACCAACCCCGCGGAGGCGAGGATTGGGAGGGGGAGACGGGGACCCCCTCCCCCAGCCGGACCCCGGCCGCCGGCCCGCCCGGCTCCCCCTCCTCCCCTCCCGGGACTCACGTTTCTCGAGCTGCGCCCGGCCTGCCCCTCCACGCCGGCCCGACTCCACGCACCCCTGCCTTGCCAGGCCTCTTTGCGCTAGTCGTTTCTAGTGACCCGTGGGTTTCGGGTTCCACTCTGGAATCCCCCCCAACCGAAAGATACTTTTGGAGACCCAGGGGCGGAACTGATGCTTCCATACAGCCCCGGGAAAGAAATGGGGGGAAGCGCAGAGGACCTTTCTAGGGGGGGCCCTTGCCCACTCCACTCACCTTCTCCAAAATAGTTACTTCTTTTCTCTGGTTTTACTCTCCGCTCAGAGAGAAGGCAGAAAAACACCTCTTTAGAAGCACTTCTTGCCTTAACTGTACTAACCAACGTGCACGAAATTGAAAACACTGAACCCTGCAAACTGAATGGGTTGTAACCCCCAAAGGCAAAGGATCAGGAACAGAGCGTTGAAAGTATGCAGCTCACAAGAGGAAATGCCATTTATCTTATCTCCTAGGCCTGCGCGGGCGGGTGGGGGAACGGGAGAGGAAGTGCCCTCCGCCATCTGAGTTCTGCAACCTCAGTAGCAATCACAGCTCCCTTGGAGAAGTTTCTACAGTTTTCTTAAAAGCAGCCACTGCACCAACATGGCTCCAGAGAGGTGTCAGGTATGAACCAGGCCATCCACCTCCGGGCTGACTTTGCCTCTGTGTTAGCCTGCAATTAGCCCACCAGAGCTAGACAGCACAGGAGTGACAGATGTTCACCCATCCCTTAGAACTGCAGATGTTCTACCTGAGAGCCTTGATTTCCACCCCCGCCCCCCACCCCCACTTTGCTTCAAAGTGTTTTGAGGAAGTCGAAAGGGCCACCCCTATCCTGAGTTTCCCCAGACCTACAGAGGAGTTTCCATTAATGAGGCCACATTAGAAAAAAAATGTGGATGTCTACTTTTATGCTTCTCTTACTCAAAAAAATTGCATAGGAAGAGACATTCCTTACAAACAGGTCAAGAGGAAGTGGTTTAATTAGATTTTTGAAATGTTTACACAGGTAAACCGCTGATTTACGTAAACTTCCAAATGTTTCAGAGGTGGCCTGTAGAAGAAAGGAGAAGCGGCTCTAGAATTTAGAACTAGATTTTAATTCTGGTTTCAGTCCTCATTTTGCAGTTTTCTACTAGGGGCCTTGGAAAACTAACTTCATAGCTTCAGTTCACTTATCTGATGTATAATACCTTCATAGAACAGTTATAGAGAAGATGCAATAAAAATAGCTTATATCTGAGAGTTACTTCATGCCAGACAGGGGGCCAAGGAATTTACATGTATTCATTCAAGTATTAGAGACAACTAATTGTGAAAGTGCTTAGCTGTGGTATGTAACCCATAAGTGTTCCTTTCCATTATCTTCTCAAATTAGGAAGAGACTTTAGAAAAAACATCTCTTTTGATTTATTTATCCTCTCAACAAGTAGTCATCTAGTTCAGTGACTCTTCAACCTGGAACATCAAATCAGCAGGAGAGCTTTGATAAAATACTTTTTTTAAAAAACTGATTTCAGAGAGTAAAGGAGAGGGAGAGAGAAACAGAAATATCAGTGATGAGGGAGAATCATCAATCGGCTGCCTCCTGCACGTCCCACACTGGGGATCAAGCTCCCAAACCAAGCATGTGCCTTGACGGGGAATTGAACCATGACCTCCTGGTTCATAGGTCGACACTCAACCACTGAGCCACGCAGGCCAGGCAGAAAAATACTTTTTAATAGAGGCCCCACACCAGACCAATAAGTCAGAATCTCTAGGGCTAGAGTTTAAGCATCAGCATTTTAAATGTTCTTCCCAAGTGCAACCAGTATGTTGAGAACTCTTCAAAGGAGGCAGTGGTACCTACTGGCATTTGCTCCTTTACTCCCAGTTTTGCCTTCAATTGACCTGGAAATCTGCATAATATCCACCTCTTATAAAATGTCCCCTGCGTAGCAGGCCTCAAAGATCGGCAATCTTGCCCTCTGGAGTCTTCCAAGATGCAAGTAGCCTTGATTCCACAGGAAAAATGCTTCAATTCACCTGGGCACCTACAACTCCATCAGCTTTTCCTCATCCTTTCTGAAAGCCCTTGGAAGGTGGTTTACTTTGCCATCATCCCTCTGAAAGTCTGATCCCGAGAATTTAATTCAGGTTTTACCCAAACAACACACAATAAAAAGATAGTTAATGGCTTTGTTCTAATTACTGTTATTTCCCCAAGTAAATCCTGGTAGCTATTACGACAGTAATATTACCCTATTGACTTTTATATTACAATTTACTAAAACTCTCAAGCAGTAAAGTGTTTTCTACAACTGTTACAAAATACACATTCTCAACCTACACGTTACAACTTGTGTTGAGCACTTAACATACTAACCTATTAAAATTCTGTGTGCTAAGTCAGTTGGCGTTGGATATCATTGATGTAAATGAGTCATTCTAACTCCCAATTTCATGTCTTCTGTAAATTTGGTCTGTATGCCATGTCATCACTCACGTTCTCATTCTCAGGTGCCTTCCAGGCCAACTGAAACTGAATTAGCAGATGACAGTGAGGACCCAATGTGTTACTAAGTCATATTTTCATTACTTGGTCCAGAGCAGCATCTATGTGCTTGAGTGCAGGCCATATTTGTAGAAATTAGAAGAAGGTACACCACCCTTACTCAGGTGGAAGGATTAGGAGAAATCAACCGCTTCCTCCCAGATAGAATCCCAAACAGCAGATGTGCTTTGACCATCCAGTATGTTTACTTTGCTGGTATTGTCAAAAAAGAAAATGACTACTTGGTGAATTCTCTAACTTCTGAATTTCTTCTTCCTTTTCTAAGTGCCCAGATATTACTTTAATAATAGGGTTATTAATTTTGCTCCAGATATGTGAAAAGCCCCTTGTCTTGGTTTCAAGAATCAAGCTGCTCTTTTTTGAAAATGTCTTTGTCCATCTCTAGTCTTTGAGTGTTCATAGCCTTCGGTGCTGATTCTAGATGAAAGTCCTAAATATATAAACTCTCTTTGCTGAGAGGTAGTTATTATAGGCAAAAGAAGTTAAGCTTTAGGAAATAGGATATTTTCCTACAAGTTTTTTGCTTAATTTTCAATTAACTCTTGCAAAGTTCATTTCATTCTTTCCATTGAAATGGTCGTCTTTTCATGATAAAGAAGAGAAGGAGAAGAAAAAAAAGAAATTCTGGTTTGTCTGCTTCTCCCAAGTACTAATAGTGGCATCTTTCCTGTGTTCTTCTTACCTGAACAAAAACAAAACAAAACAAAACAAATCATATATATTTGTTGTCCTTAGTTTATTTTTGGCTCTAGCTTAACGGAGCCCAGTCTTACATGGATGTTCTGTTCTCTTGTTTAATTATAATTCATTAAATTAAACTCAAATTTGCCCTTTAGGTTTTCCTAACCAGCCAGCTGGTCCATGACTGAACAACTGCTTCAGTTCTCAAACCAAATTAGTCCATTCGTAAATAACCACTTACCCTCACCTAAAAGGTTCATCCTTGAGTCACTGGAGAGGAATGATCATGTTGGTTTGTCTCAAGCCCTTTCCTTGAACTTACTCAGTGATAATCTCTTTCTGCTTCCCTTTCCCTTTCTGGGCATTCAGCTCTGGCCAGATATCCACGGGGGCTTCTCCAACCCCCCTTGCTCAGGCCTGCTGCCTCCCCCACTCTTCGAGAGCTAGCCTGCTTTCCACCATGACCTAGGCTGTTCTGCTACTGCTTCATTTCTAGATGGGTCACACTTTCATCACGAAAACCAAAGGAGACAACAGGGTTGGAACTTGAGGGTATTATGCTAAGTGAAATAAGTCAGATGGATAAAAACAAATACCATATGATTTCACTCATATGTGGAATCTAAAAACATAAGCAAAACCAACTCAACAGCTTAGTGGTTACCAGAAGAGAAGAGGGTGCGGGAAGAGTGAAATGGATAAAGGGGTAATTTGTATGGTGACGA